CATGCCTTTTAAAGAGAAAGCAAAGAAGGCAGCATAATGCAGCGCCTCAGAAGACATTTACTTTGACCCAAATAGTGATAGTCGCAGAAAGCCATGACAGATTTCAATAATTGTACTGTGTTTTCACTTGCTGTCTTTTTTTATTGGCTACACTTCAGGAGATCAAGCACAGATACTTTAAGTAAAGTATGCAACTTTCAACAGCTCCTTCCTAATCATCTAGCAGTACAATTTATAACAAACTTGAAAGAAAATAACTTGTTTTGAATAGATCTTGCCTTCCGTGACACTAGCATGTGACTTACCAAACACACCTGCAGCCATTTGATACTCTGGAATGCAGGTTTCAAGTCCTGCACTTCAAAATGTTTGTTTATCAATTCAGAAAAATGAAAGAAAATAGAGCACGGTTTTTTTGTTGGACACAGATGTTTTCTAGGACTCCCAGAGCCTGCAGAGAACAAGAACCTCCTCAGTCTACACATTAAAAGAAACCTAGAATTTAGAAGCAAAATTCAGCCTTCTGGGTTTTGTTTTTAGTAAGATTACCAAAGGCTGTCCATTCACCAGGTCTTATCCAGCCAAACCTCCCACCAAAGCCCATTTGGACTTTTTCTTGCCTAAGGACTATATACTACTTGGCTTACACCAACTGTATACACTGCTTTCAAGGACACTCGTACCTTTGAGCTATACCAAATTTATTTTTGTAAATGATAAAAAATATGCTACATTTTTCAAGGGGATATTACTTCCTGAAACCCTGCCTTACATGAATGTTCCAGTTTGTGGGCCACCTTATTTAGGATTCCTGTTAAAGAAATTATACGCACACATTTATAAAAGAATTTCTAGGACAGAAGTAAATCTATCATTCCTTACACCTGGCTTTCTCTCGTATCCTGACTTACATTGCAATGGACATTACTCAATCCCTATTCATTTTTAGGAGGCAACAGCTATGCAACAAGAAAGAAGAAATTATATCCTGTTTAAAAATATAAATCAGGTATTCTTGTTATCTTAACTTCAGCCTCCTTTTTTTCAAATTACTGTTATCTGATTTTGATATACTGAACCAAATTACTCAAGCGTTAATAGTGTTTACAAGTTGCATTTAAAACTTTGGTCAGTTTTAGTCCTGTTCTTTGAGTCCATTACTTCTTTCGTAAGTGAACTATTTCTTCTCTTTAATCCATAGCAGTATTAACATCCATAACAGTAATTAATTCCACATGAAATACATACATATATGCACACACACAGTTTATATCATATAATGTAAAGTTTATGACTGGGCTACAAATCCAACCGTTGTGAGAGACCAAAGGGAAAGATAAGAGAGATGTAGTTAGCCATGTTAGTCTGAAGTCAGGCAGAAGGCAGGGTAGAGATGAACTTTCAGACTAACTGAATCAGAAATGCATAAAGTGCAAAGTTACATTTGAACTGTATCCTACCTTCCATTTCAGCTTGCATAGACTCCATAGTCTAGGAAAATTCATAAGATCACAGGATTGCATTTTGCACAATGAACTGGAATGGGACTGATGGGCTGAAGTTGGAGACAGTATTCTGAATTAAGTGCAGCAATGATCCATTATACCAGAATCTTAGTAGAAGCACTGATGCTGTTCAGGATTGTTATTGGGCTGCTCTGAGTCTCCAGTATGCATGCAGTATTCCCTTAACATCAATTTAATTGTTATTCCAGACTCCCCATCTCGATCAGAGAAGCATTTGCAAAGCCTAAATCGATTGCTGCAGGTGTATCATTTATGTAGCTGAGCTAAAACAAATCAAAAAAAAAAAAACCCACATAAGCCCCCTCACCCCGAGACCCACTACCTACCAAGTGCCTGAGACTTTTGAATGTTAGCCATGATTACTGTACACTAAACCACAGAGGTCTAAATAGGAAAGTGAACTGGGAAATACCTGTGGTTAAAATTAAGCACTGTTATTTATGGCACTGGAGCACATTTTAAGTTATTCTGCCCTGTGTAACACAAAAATCTGTTCTTTGTCACCACCTACATGAAGTATGAGATAAAGTGATTAATATGCCAATAAAATTTAATTATTTTAAAGTGTGTTCATTTACACATACACGCGGTTACAGTGCTTACTCATTTTTTCAAAATTAAAAAAAATGAGTTAGCTATATAAATTAAACTGAAAACTATTTAGAAAGTAAAAAAGTAAACGGCTTTGCTCTATATGTTGTTAACATTCACAGTTCGAATTACAGCCAATCAAATTATAATTCAGGTTCAGCCTGATTTTAAGTTGCCCTGCAGTGAAGTTTAATTGTATTACCTACAAAATTACGTGACTGAATTCCTGAAGGCACTTTTCCGTATTTCTTTATTTGCTCTTGGTCATATGAGTTTTTTTGATTAGTTCAACTTTACTGTTATCAACACTTGTCTCTTATCTCAGGCCCTAGGCAAATGACATATTTACCACTAGTTCCATTCTGATAAGGGTAATCCTATGTTTAACTTGTCCAAGAACAAGCACAACATTTTTCATTTTTTAAGAAGCATGTTTCTGGTTAGCAACAAAGCATGGGAAAGTGCATACAAGCAAAGTTTCACCTAAAAGATCCTATATTTAAAAAGGATCAGAAACTGACTAAATTGTATTTTTCCTGTGCAAGTTATTATATTATGGAATTTGTGTACTAATGAAGGAAAGTTGCTTAGATGAAAAGTCCCTTTTAAGTATCATATAGTTGAACTCATGTTAAAGTTTTAATCATGGTAAAAAGAAAACACTTTTTCATTATAACATCTCAAGTTTTGTTGCTAAACTATTTTCATAATAAACAGTTTGCCTAAAAGGGATAGGTTTTCTTTCACATCTTAGTATCTCAAATATAGAAATATTTTGAAAATTACCAGGGAAAAATCTACAACGTTGATTTTTTTCCCAGTCAAATTCTCTTAAATGCAAAGATGTTAAATATTTAAAATGTTGTAAGGCAGTAGTCATTGGCTTTTACAATGCTATTCTTATTGGTTTACTCACCCTGATGCAGTAGTCTGATGAAAAAGTTTCGGTGAGCGTGATAAAGAAAATAATTCACCAGATACATGGGCAGGTTTTTTTAGGGTTTTTTTTTCTCTCCTTGGATAAACCATACCGAAAGGAAAGCTACATTTATTCTTATGCAACTCTGACCTCTTTGAAAAACAGAAATTTCAATCATTGTACAGCTAATGCTGCACTGAAGTGTCAAAGAGTGTGCTAAAAACATTTTGATAGATAGCTAAGTAATTTATCTAAATCACCATCAGAGCAGTGGAGCATCCTGGTAGCTCTTTTATGCAGAGTATAAGGTGATGCTTTCTGGTACTTCTTGTCATTTCTCAAACTTAAAACTATGGTGTTAAAACACTGCCACTGTTTACCGTCTACGTTCCTAAGAACCATGTCAAGATCAGATAACAGAACAGCACATTTTTTAGACTACATTACCAGTAACTCTGCTTCCTCTCCTGCTAGTCTGAGACTTTGACTAAACCTGAAGGTATGGAAATAATTGATGGTTAAACACAAGGGGTGTTCACAGTTAGTAGTTTTCTAGCAAAACAGCAACTTCTTATAGAAACAAAGTAAAGAAGAAAGGTGGCAGAAAGGTCAGTACAAAGAAATATTGCCTTTTCTTTGGGAGGGAAACATTAAGGGAAGCCTAAAACTACTGCCTGATTTTGAGATCAGCACCAACACCATACAGTTTAAAGTCTTTATAAAAACTGTACGAAATGGCATTTTAATTGCATAGCTGCACGGCTGAAATGCACATGAGAAAAATATGCAACTGGATTATCGGATGTGATGGGAAATTCAATTAAGGGAGGCATAGGAAAAAAAACTACAGCAGAGATATGCAAATTTCTTCTTCAGTGGTTAGAATTTAAAAAGTGCTTTACTCTCTTATAATTTTGAGTGTTTCTGCTTAACTGCAAAGCTGTTTTAAGCGCTGATACACTGCGTAAAATGGGAAAAGCACAACCTCCTTCCCCCGCAAAAAATGTTTGCACAACCACATTTCACATACCAAAAGCCCCCCTTTTCCCACTAAACCTAATGAAAAGGATTGTAATGCATGCAAATATATATATCTATATAGATATTTCTGAACTAGAAAAAATAAGAATGGGACCTACATTGAGCACTGTGCCGGTGTTGCCACTCTGTTTGTGCCAATCCACTGAAGCATGCTTTCAGAGCCTTCTCCTGGAGCATGCAGGAAGACGGACTCGCAGTGTAGAAATCCAGCATTTGACCGGGGCTCACTGCTAGCACATCCATACAGTCAAACATGATTCCCCCTCTACAGAATGCCTGCAAAAGTGCTTTTCTCTAGGTGTGGAGGAAAATGGCATATAAAAGTACACCCAACTCCATCAAACTCTGCCCCTTTTTTGGCACGTAGGCTGTTGGTCTTTTTCCCAGACCAGAATCATGAATTATGACAGACAACACAGCTAAAAGCCTGTAATTGATCCAAATGATCATTTACCATTTTCCAGGCTGCTCAGCCAATCCAGCAAGACAGGGGGAACCAAGCCGCCCTCCAAGTTTCAGTTCCAGTCATTTTTTTGCAGAAATCCTTCAGAATCAGTCCTGCCTCTTAGGCTGCTGCCGAATATACAATCTTTTGCACCTCACACATTTCACCCAAGTCCCAGGAATAAAACTGCTTTGATAGGAACTCAGGATCCCCCTCAGGAATGAATAGATCCTTCTGCCTCTGAACAGCTCACTTCCTACTACTTGTGTCACACAGAATGAAAGATTGAATTGCCTAATATATGCGAGTGAACTTTCTATGAACCCTTCCCAGGCTGCTAACCTTCAAATGACCCAACCAGTCTGACATCACCAACTCCCAGGATTCTCACACAGCTTAAAAACTCCCAGCAGCCCTGCAAAAGCAGACAGGCAGGGAAGCAGGCAACTACTAGTTGTAGTCTTTGGATTTTTTTTTTTTATTTACCTTTAAATAAGTAAGATTAAATAAAAACAAAGGCAGGGATGATATGGCACAAAGGCTCCTTCTGGGTGATGTGTGCATAGCACCCCTTTTTTTGTGTGCATCAGCTTTTTATAGGTATGTGGATTATTTTAAATTTTCTATTTGATTTCCAAAATCTTCTGCCCCCCTCCCTTCCCATGGGGATCCTATTTGCTACAGCACCATGACACAGCTGCTGATAGATAGCAACTTCCCTGCAACTTCTCAGCTTGGGCAGATAAGTACTGAGAACCATCACACACAAAAAAATGCATCTCTGTTTAATCCCAGGTTAATTGTTTGGCTGGTATAAGTAATAAGGAATCCCTGCCAGGCTAGAGATAGAACATCCATCATAGAAAAATAAGGCTGGGAGGGATCTCAGGAGGTCATCTAGTCCCACCCTATGCTCAGAGCAGGAACATGCATCTCTAAACTAGCCCAAACAAATGTTACATTAAGAATCCTCATGGGCCCATAGCTAGGAGAGGGCAGAGTGCTTTGTACACTGAACAACACCCTCCTCCCCAACCTCCACCACCTCTCCAAACTTCAGTGCAATGAAACTTTGCACCTAATCCACCCTGAGTTCAATTCTGCAGGGTGCTCTGTGCTACTGAAAGACATGCAGAGATCTGGGGGTGGGGTAGTTCATCACCAGAACAGAGAAGCTTCCACATGGGGGGACTGATTCTGAGATGCAGAACGTGACCCAGGACTGCGGCTATATATAGATCTCAGCAAATCTCAACATCTGCACTGAAATGCACCCTGGTGACTTGAGGAGAGGAGTGGAGGCAGGATGTGGGAGAGGCAGAGATGCTTAAACTAAGGTTACTATATTTCCAGTTTCAAAAAAGAGGATAGCTGGGGGGAGGGGTAATATGACTGTGAGGGCCAATGATATGCCCATGCCCTGCCCCTGCTCTTCATTCCCAAACCACAGCCCTCTAGCCCCGCTGCTGTCTCTCACTCCCAACCCACTGTACCCTGCTCCCCAGACCATGCTGGTGCCCCTCACTCCCAACCTGCAGCCTGCCCCCGTTCCTGCGATGCCCCTCACTCCCAAGCCACAGCGCTTCTGGTCATTCCTGACCCACATCCCCTTTCTCCTCCCCCCCCCTCGTCAGCCCTTCCGGTGCCCCTCACTCCTGACTCGACCCCTGAAGGACCCCCTAGCCCTTCCTCTGCTGGAGGGGCTACCTTCCCTGCCTCGCTACAGGCCCAGTTGCGGCAGCCACCAGGTCCCCTTGTGTACACCTCCCCACCCCCCCAAGCCCTGACCTTACCTGCCTGCAGCTGCTGGGGTTTCTGAGCTGACATACGTGAAGCCCCTCCCCTGCTCCCTCCAGCCCCAAGCAGTGCAAGCCAGGAAGTACACGGAAAGCAGAGGCAAAGCAAAATCCCAGACATTTGCTGATATTTTAAAAAACCACCTGGACAGAGATGGAAGGACCCAAAAAGAAGACATGTCTGGGAAAACCCAGATGTATGGTAACCCTACTTAAATACAGAAGGATGAATATTCAATATGGTGCAAATCCCAGGCAAGTAAGTACAACCTAAGTTCTGAGTTGTGTGCTGCTCTGCTCACTGGGGAGTGACAGGAGTCTGCCCCCCACCAGGCTACTATGGGGCCACCACAGGTTTGACAGATCCAAGGACCCTTGCTCCCTCAGAGGAGACCCATCTAATGGGGCACCAAAGGCAAGTCCAGGAAGTAGCAGATCCTTTCTCGCACCTGCTCCCTACACATTGTGAAAAGAGGGTCCAATGTGGAAATAAGTTTCTTCTGCCTCAGTATTGCTGCTGAGGGATCATCTCGGGATGACAGAGGAGGACAGGATGTGTCCCTCTCTATTCTGTTATTTCTGGATCCTCGGTTTCTCCTTCAGGCATCATGAGGATCAATCAGCCGCTGATAAACAGCCCCTGCTCCTAAGTTCTCAGGCAAACAGAACATTTTCTTACAGCCTAAAGATGTACATTGGGCACAGTGCCTTGCCAGCTCTCTGGCCAGAAGCCTCTGATCCCCTCAGCTCACTTTACCTGATTAGATCATCATTAACAAAAGTGCTAGGTTCAGCCATCTCATTGATATTTTGGTGCTGCTCTCACTGTTTTATATAAATAACCTGCTCTCTATACAATCTTGCTTACGGGTATGAATTCCATCTGATTTTTACTTGCATGGTTTCCTATGTTAATAATGGGGAAATAAAATATATTACCATGCTCTGAATCATTCCTCCCCACCCTACCCGCTACCTCCCATTAAAATTATTTCCAAAGTATCTTCGGTTTTAGAACCTGACTTTAGAAACTTTGGGTCTGAGCATTTACAGCTTGTCTTGCTCCTGGGTTAAATTTTCACAGGCACAATAGGAAGCTAAGAGCTTAACTTCCATTGAGATGGGCACTTTACTTCCTTTTGTGTCTTAGAAACTCTTTTCCTCTTTAAGTTGATTTTGTTGGTGAGTCAACATTTCCGAAAACTGGACCCTGTTTGTTAAGCACCCCAAAACAGCAGATACTTTTGCAAATGTCACAGTCAGTCTGGTGCAGCTGGGAATCCTGTGTATGGAAAAGGCTCTTATGGGAAAACTAAAAGAAATACTGACAAGAGATTCACTCTGGGACCTGCCCAACTTGCCTAATGGATGTGATGTTCTTTCTCTGCAGAAAATCCTTTGATGCATTAAAAGCTTGGTGACAATGCCTGTAGACTGTATTAACAAAACTTTCTGCAAAGATTCAAGAAGTTAAGAAAAAAAAACCTTTGTCCCCTGAAACTGATATATCCATACTTGAAAACAAACAACCCAACAAAAAGGCCTATTGTAATCTGGAAGTGAAATCCTTTTGAAGAGATAAAAACAAAAGCTTTTCTTAATGGTTTGGGGTTTTTGCCTCTTAGAAAGAAGAGACTTATCTGCCTCCACAGTAGGCACAATCTCCTTCCATCTCCCATCTTGGTAGAAGAACTATAGAGCTGGAATTTAACACTGGCATCCAAGGGCTTTTAGTTTGTCACTCCTACCCTATGTTGAAACTGCTCCAACCAAGTTTCTAAGTGGCACTTATATTGCCATGTGAAAAGTATATACAAGTCATGGTTACTCAAGTAAGAGATCTGTTTGTTTCGGTACATTAAAACAAATTTCAGCATATCAAGCACTTGTCTCACTATTAAAAGGTGGGAGTAAAAGAAATGGTACACCTTTGACTGAAACCTGATTTTATCATGTTGCTAAAGATTCTTTTACTCTTTTCTCTTTTTTTTGACTTGGACAACAAAGACTCTTTAAAAGATGCTATTTTCCAGTGAAATAAAATGTATTTTCTTAAGATAAGCCTACAAGAAATGTTAGGGATGTCAAATGCATCATGATTAAGGTGTCTAGAAAGATTTATACAAAATGCATCTTCTGCCAGTTCCCAACTTGGGACGGAACGGGACTCTGCAGTCCAGGCCTCTAGGGTAGCATGGAAGATTAGACTAAGAAAAAATATAAATTACCTTGAGGAATTACAGGGGATAATATAGTGTTCACAAAAATATTGTTATGTTTATTTTATAACAGTTCTTATCAAATCAATTTAATTTAAAGCCTATTTGCAGTACTTTTAAATGCAGATAAGTCATTGGCAACTTCTGAAAATGTGTGTCAGTAAATCATGCTTAACTGCATATGAATTGAATAAGATAGCTTTTTCATACTATAGCTAAATGAGCCAGCTTGTTCATTATGTTTTATTATGAATTATAGTTGTGATAATGCTTACAGTTATTACTGAATCCACGTGTAATTAACAAATTCTTCAAATAATCTAACAGTTCACTTCTATTCTACTTCTTCCACTTTCTATAATGTGTTAATTAGTTTAGTTATCTCTTCCAAGGTCTTGCTTCTCTGTAAATTGTATGCTCTCTTTCTTTTAAGCATAAGACCAAAAAAGCCACATTCAAAAACGTATATTTGCAAGAAATTATTATTAACACCCACAGACATACACACTCTACAGGACTGGTCCTAACTATAATATTGTATTATCCCATCAATGTATATTTCTAACTCAGTTAATTTAAATGTAATGAAGCATCAATTATTGACACATATTTTAAAACTCTTATCACATTCTTATACACATTCAAGTGGAAAAGAGCTCTGCAAAGTCTTCTCATTAGACCATCAAAAAAACCTTCTGATTTTATAGCCCAACTTTGATCTGTTTTTTGTCAGCCTGGGGTGGCAGAAACTTTACAATAAACATATTCTTAGTCACAAGTGAAATAAAAACCAAAAGTTCAAGTAAAAAATCTATTTCCTTCAGTGTTACTGTATATTTGTCAGTGTGACATAGCACATTTGAAACCTATAATCATAAAACAAAAATTTACAGCCAGGGTTTAGGGTCTACATCTGTTTCTCTGGTTTCTGTACTGCAATTACCCACTGGACAATTCAGAATGAAATGTCATGAATCATGTTCTGTGCATGTTTGTGCGGTCACTTTTGGTAAAGGAAAAGAGTCCAATGCTACCTTGTACACTATACAGAGGAAGTGCTCCAAAAGTAAGTTTAATGCACTGCAAGCCATTATTTTACTGGGATCAACAGGCACATCTATGGCATGGAAATGAAGAATGCATTCAAAACATCTTTAAAAGAAAATAAGTTGGTTGAAGTCCACCTTTTAATATACATTTTACCATTAATCACATATAAATCTTTCTTGAAACAATTTTGACAGCACAGTAAATGGTTACTAGTGAGTGATGTGTATGCTTAAGCAGTGAAAGCAGAGACAAAGTGGTGTTTTCTTCTATTCCCTAGGCAAGTGCTGACACTGAGCTTGCTGCCTCAACTCTGAGACTCAGAGATTCCTTTGTGTCAGTTGCCGGGAGAATCACTGGCAGTTAAATCACTGCCCATCATTCACAGGCAGAGGCTTTGATTTTTACCTCTTTATTTAGAATGGACGCTAGTATGATATATTACTTGCCTCCTTTTCCTTCCTTAAAAAACTGTGATATGGGATTTAAAATCTGGTTACCCAAATCCCAATATAATTTATTGTATCTACTTGTTAAA